CCATGAAGGAGATTTCTATGAGCAATTCTTTGTTTTGGCACAAGAGGGATCAATAGCATGCTACCAGGAATAGTTTGAGCACCTAGCCAGTAGGGTGGAGCGAGTATCAGATACGGTATAGAGGGGGACTTCATGAAGTGGTTGAAGGCGGAGATCCGAGCAACAGTGAAGGTATTGATGCCTCGTGACTTGGGGGAGGCCATGAAGTTGGCCCAGCTGGTGAAAAATCTGAAGAATCTAGAGAAGAGAGCCAGGAGCAACAGCTCATGAGGCTCTTACAGAACGACGACCACTCTTCTAGCACCCAAGGGGCCTGCATCAGGTAACATTAATGAGACACCAGGGAGAAGCCAGTAGGAGGAGGGAGTAGAAAAAATTTCAAGAGGCTGACAGAGAAAGAGATCCAGGAGAGGAGGGCAAAGGGGTTGTGTTTCAGGTACAAGGAGAAGTATACGTCAGGACATCAGTGCAAGGACCGAACTCTTCAGGTTCTCACAGTCTGTGATGACGGGAAAACTGAAGAGGAAGGTGAGGGGGAATTAGAAGAAGAGATGGAGGAGAAGTTGCATTTGGATCTGGTCGAAGTTTCCCTAGATTCAGTAGTATGATTCACTTCGAATCATACGATGAAGGTGAAGGGGGAAATAACAGGCATGGAGGTAGTTGTTTTGATTGACAGTAGGGCTAGCCATAATTTCATTTCCACTCAAGTCGTCAACCAACTGGGATTGAAATTGGTGGACACCAGTTATTATGAGGTGATGATGGGTACATGGAAGGTGGAGAAAGGCCAGGGGATCTGTAGAGGAGTAGTGATGACCATCCAGGGGATTCAGGTAAGGGAGAATTTTCTCCCACTAGAGTTAGGAAGTACTAATGTCATCTTGGGAATGAAATGGTTGCAAACCTTGGGGGAAACCAAGGACAATTGGGGAGCACTCACGATGGAATTAATGGTGGACGGGAGAAAGGTGATTATAAGAGGAGATGCAGGGCTATCCAAAGCCATGGTATCACTTAAGACCATGGTTAGGAGCCTACAAAAGGTGGGGAAAGATTATATGGTGGGACTACAAAAGCTAGATGTGATCAGGATGGAGGAGAGAGGGGATGTTTCTCTTTCAGGGTAGCCCTTAATTCAGCAATTTGGTAAGGATTTTCAACCACCACAAGGATGGTCACCTCCACGGGAACATGAGCATATCTCCACCTTGAGGGCGAGGTGAATCTTCGGGAGGGGAGTATTGCTAGACCGGTCTAGTATGTCCACGCGGGACCTGCCCAAGCGAGAACGAGGCGGAAGCCTCCGCCTCCTGCTTTAGCAACACACACCGCCGAAGCAAACAAAGCAGTTTAGGAAGGATTTTTTAGGGATTTGGGAGGGAAATTTGAATGTAGGGACTGTTTAGGGATTTCCTTCTAATTTGTATGCATTAAATACTTTGTTTTCCTAGGGTTAGGGTATCTTGAATTTGGCTGAAATTTGAGATCTCTTAGATTTAGGTACTTTTGGGCTCTAGCGGCGTCTAGAGATTTGGGAGAGATCGATCCTCCTCTCGAATTGAGGATCAATTGTATCTTGTTTGTTTTTCTTCCGTTAGTTGATTTATTGCAATAAAATCTACTATTTTTCTTGGATTTCATTGGATTTCGAATGAATTTCTCACTGTTTTATGAAGATTGATGGGAAATACTTGAGATCTACAAGTGTTTCCTATCAATGTCCAACGAGGAGAATCACTTTGAGTCAAAGGTGGATGTTGCCATGTAGGAGCTTCCAAGGCTTAATAGCAACACGAAGGAATGTGTATATCCTGATCAAGGGGAAACCATGCAAGGAATGTGTATATCCTGATCAAGGGGAAACCATGCAAGTTGGTCAAGATCCACTTCCAAGATTAGGAAGATAGACATGCAAAATGTCACTTTGTTGCAATTGATAGCCTTTTGGCTCTTGTTTTGTTGGTCCCAGCACCTCATTTTAGACCCATAGAAGGAAAAAGTTTAAGAGGAGATCATTGGAGGAAATGTGAGGTGCATTTATGGTGGGCAAAGTTTAAGGGGAGATCATTGGAGGAAATGTGATGTGCATTTATGGTGGGACTAGGGCTGATTTTAAGGGGGAAAGTTTGTATATGAGAGGGAATATGTGAAGAATTTTCTGAAGTGGTTTTTCTTAGGTGAATTTGGATTCCTAGTTGCTGCTAGGAAATTAGGGGAGAGTCTATTCACCTCTCCAACAGTGAATCAATTGTATCATGTATTTTTCTGATTGAAGATTATTATTTCAGCTTTGTTACTCATGCATACCATTGTTGTCTTCTCTTAATTTTAGTGGTTGTTTTTTGCTATTTGACGCTGATTTTTCTCTAGTGGCTATTTTGGGTGCTGATTTGATATCCAAAACATATCAAATTGATATCATAGCAAGTTTTTGGGACCAATGGTTGGGAGAAGAGTTGAGGCGTTGGAAGAAAAGTTGGAAGGGCAAGTAGGGCAACTACAAACGGATGTGGGATCGTTGAATGAGTGTTTTTCAGCGCTGGAAGGAAGGTTTGGGAATCTAGAGGAGATGATGAAACGGATGTTAGAGTTTCAAACTAATGCAGTTCCACCGGACGTAAGGGGGGATCAGGGAAATGGCATGCCAAGGGGTGACGAAGAGGTGGAAATTTTAGGAGAGGATGGAATACTCCACCTTGAGCCTCTACTGAGAAGGGAGATGGATACAGAGGTAGGAGGGAATGGGAAGAAAATAATAGGCAGGCTGAATTTGAAGGAAGAGAGGGGTATGAAAGGAGAAGGGAGGAGAGAGAACCATGGAGAGACCCAATGCTCGTTTAATGGTAGGCATGGGGAGCGGAAGGGGAAATTGGGTGGGGAAGATCCGAAGGATAGGAAGCTGAAAATGTCAGTGTTTGAAGGTGAGGATGCGCATGGGTAGATCCATTGAAGGAGATTTAACAGGTACAAGAAGTGTCTCACTATTCTGCATATGTTGATTTTTCTTTCTTTTTCTTGAGTATACATATTGTTGTTCTTTAATTGCTGCTCTTTGTAAGGATTAATTGGGACTAATGGGTGGAGGTTGTGACATAGCAAATATACCTTAAAAATACTCGTTATTTAGATTTCTTTTGATATTTGTTGATTTTGACTGGACTCTGTATGATTGTATAATAAGAAATTTCACTCCTAAGTTTGAAATTCTCCATCACTCTCCCCCTGAATTTCAGAACTAGTAAAGTATGAGTTGTTTTAAAAAAATGAGACATCCATGGTTTCAAATACCTTACTAGAAGTAAGTCAAAAGCATTTGTAACCTCTTTTGGTCCAGGAATAGCCAATAAAGATGCATTTTTTTTAATCTTGGGTCAAGCTTGCTCCTATCTTGTGAATAGATATGAACAAAGGCAGAGCACCCAAAAACTTTAGGTGGAAGATTTGATGATATGAACCGAACATGAGGATAGGCTTTGAGTAGAGTTTGCCTAGGTGTTTCAAATTTCGTCTTTTACCTAGGCTCCATTGAACATTCTTATGTAAGTTTAGTCAATTCTTTATAAGATTAATATTGATATTTTGTACAAACTTCAAAAGAATTAAAGGTTAATCACAAATATGATTTTTGATGTTTTGCAAATAATGTTAAGTTTATTCAATTATGATTTCAAGATTGTGACTTCTTATAATATTGCATTTAAATTGTTATTTAATTTGCATAAATTTATGAGTCTCATAGCTCGTCAATTATTTTATACTGGCTATTGTTACAGGAAAATATAAAAAGAAAGTGGAGACCGATTAGGCAAGTGTTGGAAGCTTTAGGTTTTATTTTTAGAAGTGTTTGTGATGTCTTCTTATAAGGTATGTAAGCTATTTAAATGTGATGAAACATTATGATTTTCTTAGTGGCTTTGTATGTATTATTGTGAGGTAATTGGAATTAGATACTTCCCGATTTCAATTATTGAAAAGGGACTCTTCTTTATGATATTTGAAACCTTAGAACATATATTAACTCATATTTCCTTTTCGATCATCTCAATTGTGATTATGATTCATTTGATGAACTTCTTAGTATACGAAATCGAAGGATTACATAATTCGTCAGAAAAAGGGATGATAGCTACTTTTTTCTCTATAACAGGGTTTGTAGTTATTCGTTGGATTTCTTCAGGACATTTTCCCTTAAGTAATTTATACAAATCATTAATCTTCCTTTCATGGAGTTTATCCATTAATCATTAATCTTCCGTTCATTCAGTAGATGTAATTGTCAGTATATATTTTATACAACTATTCAAATGATATAAAAGTATCATATGTTGAGAATGAAGTTAAGTTCAGTTCTATGACACTCTACGTTACTAATAAGGGGTATCATAGGGTGTTACAATTTTCAACTTTTATATTTGAAATTCCAAGCATGCATGGGTCAATCATTCCATCTATGAGAATGCATTTCTTCATTAAGTGGGTAACCACTCTTAAATTAATACTCCTACTAAATACCTTGAATTAATTTCTTGATACTTGGAATTTATCTGGGAACAATTCTCCATGCTTTGAATTAATCTTGAAGCAACTCTCCATGTTTTAAAATCTAGAAGTGAAATAATGTGGGCCATGCATGGGATGACAAACATGGAGGTCCCATATTTTGAATGACAAAATATACACTAATTTGATAAGATGAAGGAAAATAACTTTTGATGGAAAGCTAAATCAAATAAACATACTTCTTCCCATTTTTCATGACCAATAGCCATGCAAAATAAAATAAAAACAAAAACTTGCTTTTTTTTGTTCTACATCACTATTTGTTCCCTACTCAATCTTTGATTTCTTAATAGAGGTTAGGCTTGACCTCTCATCATGCACAACAGAAGAAGCAAAATGCTTGGGCAGTTTTGTCAACCTAATAATTTTATCACTATCATATATCTTCCTCATGCTTTAACCACATGCTTTAACTTAAATGAATTTCATGACAACACCTTTGCAAGCATGAGATTGGGTGCCACTCCAGTACTGCACGTCAGACCAGTTTCCTCAAAAATAGCATTCCGGAGTTCGCCAGCAACCTTTGCAGAGAACAGAGGCAAGGAAATGAGGGACCAGTATCAGTTACGTCGTAGAAAACTGACACCTGAAAGAGCCATACAGTATAGCAGATAAATTTATGGATGAAAAACCTATCTATTCAATACTTACTTCATCACTGCTAATCTCCCTATTGATGCATACTTCAGTTATATTAAGGTAAGCTTCATCGAGACTTGTTGAAATAAAGTCAGGATCATATCTCCTAAAGACTGAAAAAAATAATCAGCTAAACAAATTGGAAATGAACCACCACTTATGTAAAACAACTTTTCAAAATTTTATAAATTTGACCTTTTCTTGCCAATTCACTGTAGAAAGTATATTTTTCAAAATTTGTTGGCACAAAGATCAGATCGGGACATAATTTACATGCAATGAAGCCAGGCATTGCAGCACGAACGCCAAATTTACGAGCCTGAATCATGAATGAATGTTTTTACAGCAATTAGAAGATATATTTCTACCAAGGTTCACATATCCAAATCCAAGTCTAAGAATGGCTTTCTAACACTAGCAATATTGCACTAGAACTTCACCTCGTAATTTGCAGTGGAAATCATGGACAAGCTACCAACTGCCATAGGCTTTCCCCGCAATGATGGATTCTCTAATGTCTCCACGGCAGCATAGAAGGCATCCATATCAGTATGCAGCCAAACCTTTGAAAGATCACGTGAAGCTTCCAACTCTAAGATCTTTTTATTGGCAATCTGAAATGATATATCAACCAATAAGAGTATATGTACATTTGTATTGTGAACGGTCAAAATATCTCCATGAATCAACGATAAAGAAATATTTGGGTTTGAGTTTGAAATACTACTCCAGAAATGCATGCTAACTCATGTACTGAAATAAACAGAAAACTCTTATGAAAAAGTGATATTCAACATATTTTATGAAAAATAATGAGATACAATTACACCATCATCATCATTAACTTTATCCTAACTATTTGTGGTCAGTTTTATGAATTCATCTCTCATTCCAATTGAAAGATACATAAGATGCTAGCTCTAGTTTACAGATTTCTTACAATGAGATATTCTCATATTAAACACTTGCAACCAACATAGCTACTCCTAAAATGTCAAATAATACATTATTATTTGGTTATCTTAAATCATGAACTAGTCTGAGCATAATTTACAACATGTAGATCAAATCATTGCAAAAGAATACTTAGTTAACATGTGTCGCAGACACTTGAGCTTCAAACAAACAGATGAAATAAAACAACTGCTCTAAAATTTATAAACTACAGTAGTTACATGTTAAAAATGAAAGTAAAAAATAAATAAATAAATAAATGTTAAAAAATGAAAGTCATATTCAAGATGTACCAATAGCATTCCTAGTATTGATGCGGTTATAACAATAAGACGAGAAGTTGGTAGCGCTGGTTTGGTAACTCGGAGAAGTTATTGATCTTGCACATCTAGTTTTCTCATACCAAATATAGCTGAAAAAAACAAGTTGATATTTATCTGAAAGTATCACCATATAATATGAACTGGGTGGATGCAACATATCTGCTAACTCCATTTCCCTTCCAAAAACAGTCCTACTGTAACAAAACTTTTCTTCTCTGACCAGCAGATTTTCAAAGGCCTTCATGACGTTGAGGACAAAAATATCAAAAATCTTTTACATATAATTCGCAATATCTCATAGTTTAGTGAGATTTGGTTCAATCAAATTAATCCTACGACTCGCCAACATGAAGAGAGGTTTCGCATTTGCACCTTTAAGCTGGGAAAATTTTCACAACTTTGGAACATCTAAGAATTTAGCGCAAAGACTAATGAGGTTTTAGATAGTCTTGAAGAGGCTTGAGGTCTTGTTATTAATAGAGCTAAAAGTGGATTTGTGGTTCCTAAGAATTTGGCCTTTTCTCGACTTGCTTCTAAAGCTAGAGTTGCCAGATTTGTTCAGCAGAATCTCCCCTTTAATATCTTGAACTTCCTTTGTTTAAGGATTAATTGAGAATCTTTCATTATGGTGAGCTTATTAAACATATTCAAAATAGAATTTATAGCTGAGAGCATAATCTTCTTTCTCGTGGAGGTCATATAACTTCGTTGAGGAGTGTTTTGTGCGCTACCCCATTTATTTAATTCAGGTTTTGGATCCTCCTGAAGCAATTATTGATAAACTTAAAAGTTTGTTTAGTGGATTTCTTTTAAGTGAAAATGGAAGTCATAAAACGATTAATTGGGTGCAAGGAAATAAGCTTTGGTTACCTATAGCTGTGATTTGGAACTATGAAAGACTTAAGTCAACCATTTGCAATCAAATTGAGAGAAACTGTAGGTCTCAAAGCAGGTTAAGGTCTAATTTCTTGAGGGATAATTATTGCAACGGTAATCATTCCATGTTGGTATCCGTATGGGGTTAGGTTTCTTTAATTTAGAAATCTTAGCCAAAATAGAGATGCTGTTGAGAAATCTGTAAGTTGGGGAGTTGGATTTGACAATGTTATATTTAGGTAAGACATATATTTGGTCATAAACCCCTTGCTTTGTTGGTTCCCGAGACTTTTCATTCTTCTAAGGTAGCATATTTCTTTTAGCTGCATCTTGGCCTCCTGGGATGTTAATAAGCTTGCTTCTCTCCTACCTCAACATTTAGTTCTTTAAATTCTTGAAATTTCAAATGTCATGCTGCGTTTTAAATAGGCCTAGGAAATGATTACAATTTGTTCTGGTAGATGTCTATTGTTACTATTTGCTTGGATATTGGTTAATGATGCTTTGCCTGTGAATGTGAGATTACAGAAATTTAGCTTTCAGTTGGCATCAAAGTGTCAATGCTGCTTGAGTTGTATCTGTTGATCATATTTTTTGGAATAGGCATATTCCTAAACAGGTTCGGTCAGTTTATTCTGGATTGCTTTCTGTTAATCTTACTGACGTTGTTTCTGTTGCAAGGATTTTGAGCACTTGGAGAACTTCGTTGACTGGAGTTAAAAGCCTAGACACATGAGATGTTTAATCCCACTCTATGTTAAGGTTCTTGTGGGGTGAACATAACGATGCAAAAAATAAAGAGATAAACCTGTCAATTATGCTAGGATGCTAGCGTTATATGACAAGTGGACAATCAGATCATAATGCTCCTTAAAGCTTTTTTGATTTATGCATGTTTAAAGAGATAAAGCAATGTGCTGTAGGTATTTTACACAAGCTATGAAGTCCAAATTCATGTTAACCAAAGGTTTGTGTTGTGGTGTAAGCCTGAACCCCGTTGGTTCAAATTGAAAGGAAGTCCTGGTGAAGCTGCTGTGGTTGGACCGTTAAAAGATGAATATGGTACTCTTGTTTTTGCCTTATTATGATTATTTGGACCTTCAGAATTCCTACTGCGTTGAGATTTCTGCTTTGGCTCTTAGTTTCCAGATTTATCTTCGATGAATAATAAAGAAATAATGAATTGAAGTGGATCCTATGAATATTAAAAATCTTATTTTGAGTAAGGAAGCTGATGATTGGATCATAGTTTTAAAGATGTGGGGAAAAGAAGGTTGCTATGATCTAATTTTCACTTCAAGGTTTGCCCATATATGGAAATAAGGAAATGTTGTTGCAGATTGGTTAGCAAGTGAAAGGTGTAACTTGAAGTATTCTTGAATTTCATCTGTTATAGATGTTCATGGTCCTCTAATTGGTATTTTGAGGTTTCTTAAGTGGGGTGATTCCTACTTCAAGTAATAAAATGGTATTTAGCTTACCGGTTCGGTTGGAATTCTTTAAACATCAACAAGGGATCCTTAGGCAATATCTTGGAGTTAGTAATATCTTCTTCTCTTGCTAATTTGATTAGAGCGTCCATGATTTGAATAAATCGCTTGAGAGTTATTATCTCTAGTTGTTTTTAATTTTTTTACTCAACTTGTCAAGAATGATCTATAATTGCTCAAACTATAATTAATTTGATCTCATCATATGGGAGAGAGTTTTAGTATTTAGGCCTTTCATAACCCTAGTCTCATGGTGCTCATCATTAGCCTTATACCAACTATTTGAAATCGGAATTATGAATCCTAATTATTCGATCATTCCTATTAAGTGTTGTTAATTCTTAAATATATTCCTCACATGTTATCAATTACATAAAAAATAAATAGTGAATAGTTTAACAAGTTAATTTTACAAAGGTATCACATGCATTCCATCACATAAAACAAACAAAATTGATACAAAGGCACCAAGAGAGGTGACAAAGAACAATTAAAACTAGACATTCCGTGCACTCACCATTTGAAAATGAGAAAAATCCTTGTCTGTAAGTTTATCAACTTGAGCACGCAAACTTTCAATCTTCTGCATAATGAATGCCTCCTTCCTTTTTTCATTCTCAAAATATTTTGACCCTTTGCTCATTTCATAAACAATTCTTTGCACTTTCTCTTTATCAACTCCATCCATACCTACACCACAACAGTTAAAACAAGACAAGAATGAAAGATAGAAATTAGAAGATATCACATCAATGTAATAGCTAATCAATAAGGATTTAAGATTTTAAATAATAACAAGTTCAGTTAAATTTTATTCAAGAAAATGAGCAAAATAATCCCATAACTTTTTATAAAAGATCAAAATAGTCCTCAAATATATTAAATGACCAATTTGATCTCTCAACTCCTTAAAAAATAACTAAAATAGTCCCACCATGAGACCATTTTGATTCCTCTTTAAGGAGTTTAAGGATCAAAATGATCATTTAATATAATTTGGGATTATTTTAGTCCTTCATAAAGAGTCAAGAGATTATTTTGATCTTTTTCTCAATTTTATTATAATGGTAACTTACCCCCTTGCCATAATGTTAATCAAGTAAGAAAACACACGGTAGAAATAAAAACTACGGACTCATGAACCATTTTTGGCACAACATAACCATCAACATTCAAATAAATAAATAAAGGAGAAGCGGCTACCTTTGCAATAAAAAATTAAATAAAGGGGGAATATATGTTTCAAAGAAAGCTTAGTCATCCAAAACAAGCAACAAAATTTTAAGAGCCATTAAGATTCGCTTACTGATTCAATTGCTTCAATCATAAATTATAAAGGCAAGAATTTCCAAGGCACAAACTATTGTTAAACTGAGCTTTCCAAGGATGAATATCCCTTCCATTTTGTGTTCTGATTAGCAATAAAAAATGCTGGATGTGCCAGCGCTGAGTACAGCCATATTTTATTGGGCAAATTATTAGGTCCGTACATCCACTAAAAATTTGCCACGTGGACTACGCTTCGAGTCAAAAAATCACAGTCAAAAGAGCAGGTAAAGTGCAGTTATAGCACAGATAAAGCGCAGTCAAAGCGCAACTAAAGCGCACCTAAAGCGCAATCCACGTGGCAAGTTTTTATTGAATGTCCGGACCTAGAAATAGGTCCGGTGACCGGACCTAATAATTTGCCATTTTATTGAGGATATATTTTGAATTCCTTTCATTGCGGTGCAAAATTATATATTGCAAGGATCTTCATTGTTCATTACTGTGATATTCCCACATTATTGAGGATATTTTGAATTATCGTCTTGTTCACTATTTTTATCTAAATGTAGGCTCATATATACGTGTACTAATCACAATACAATAGAGATAAAATATCATCATATTCTCTCTTTTCTAACACTGAGAAGTAAATAGCCTTCAAATGTTGATATCACTAAAACTTATCGAGCAGAAGAACAACAAAGTTTCGTATAATATTTTGCACCTCAAAAAAAAATACAAAAAAAAACTAAAAAAAAAAAAAAACTAAGGGAGAAAGTAAGGAGATACTGCAAAAGCTTTTCCTCTTCTCCTATGTCCTATCCCATACCAAGTTCCTTTAAAAAAGAAAACAAGAAAAATGAGAGGAGGTTATATTTCTTTCCTCGGTCTGATAGAAAAAAAAATGGGACAGACCGCAAAAGGCATGGAGTTTAAGGTAGCTTGCTGATGGAGAACTCTTCCTAAGAGAACAGAAACACACAGTCGGGGACAAAATACTGTGAAAGGAGATAAAGCAGGCCTCTGGAAGGGATTAGTCAGAAACTTCTTAGGGGAATTAATGAAATATGTAACCTAGGTATCAAAAACTCCATTATCTTCTCATCTTCCACTGTTGCAGACCAAAACCCTAAATGGAACATAAAACAGAAATTTCAAAATCGTTCTTCCGTATTGAAAGTGCGTCCTACAGCTCTACGAATTGAAGAATGAAAGGATGGTCAAATGCTTGACATGGATATTTTACTCCTAGAGGAGGACGGACGCGGACTGAAATACCGGCTTTGGCGTTGGTGTAAACCGTGTTATATGACTGCCATGGCCGATCTCCTTCCGAGGATGTTCCCATTCTTCTTAATCGCAATGCGGATGCTAGCGGAGCAGCAGTGTTTAGAACCGCCAAAGCCGAGGGCAGAAAAAACTCATTTATAAGATAATTTGACAGGTATTTTGCGAAATAAAATTTTAGTGGTATAAAAGCAATTTTAGCAAATCAGCATATAGGTGAAAAGTTTGTGCAGCTCCGGTAGAGATAATTTTAAAGAGAGTCGTCTTAGATTGTTTGGTCATATTAAATAGAGGTCTTTTGATCGGTAAATTATTATGTCTGGTCATCTAATATGTGGACATCCAATTCAGAAATGTCACCTCACCCGGATGCACTGATCCCTGGTATTTTTGAGTGACGTGGCATGTTTTTATTGGTGTTTGGACTAATCCGAACACCGGACACAATAATTTGCCCTTCCGATGACCCGGTTAGAAAAGTTAAGGTATTATATTTAACTTATATTAAAAAAGTTAAAGATATACCTAAAAAGACTTTGTTATAAAATATTATAAATGATCTTTTTTTATTAGATTTAAAGGAGAATTTGACTTTTAACTGTACACAATAATGAAAAAAGATTCATGTAGCCGACCCCATATAATGGGACAAAGGCTTCATGTTATTGTTGTTGGTATAAAAGCAACTTAATTAGAAGCGAAGCCCATGATCCTTTTTTATAGATGTCTTAACCTATGTATGGCCATTTTGATTAAAACATATTTTTGAATTTTTTTTTATAAAAAATATAGCCCTGACTGGACTGCCAAAAAGTAGCATCCCATGGTATTCTTTCTATAACTACATTAGTCCACATTAATATGAAATTCAACATAGTTCTAATTCTATTCTCCTTTTAATATCCTACGTTAAAGCTTTAGATTTAGGACTTTTAATTATCAAATTCAGCTGGATCATTATCATTACGTGCTAGAATTTTAAGAGGATAAAGAGAACATTTTAAAGTTTATACAAAGAGTAAATAGATATATAATTAGTAGAAAACCCAAAGTGAAAAAATCATGGGATTTGATGGTTGTAATAATCAACTATATAATTATCAACACGATTGATATGCCACTAAAAATTCATATTGGTCAAGCACGAATCAAGATGCAAATATGAATCCGAGGCTTTTAATATTAAATTTGGGATTATTCAAATTTGAATTCCATCAAACATATGGCTGAATTGAACATCTAAGAGAGATGAAACCAATAACATCAAACTAACTCTGAAATGAGCCCAACTAAGCAGAAATCAAATGACCAAAACATATTTAAAAGTTTCAGAGCAGCAATCGGATAATCAAATTATATCTAAATATGACATGCTTATAATCGAACCAATTTAGCGGCTCGGCGATACAGATCCAACAAGCTCAAGATCTTCTAATTTTGATATTGTTATGACATTTAAATATTCCAAGAATACTCCATGATCGAGGAGATTGATACTAGCCATCTGATGGAACACTCTGAATTTGTCCTAGATCTTCTCCATATTTATTAGGCATGACACTAACAAATAAGTATAAATAAACTCTAAGTTTTCACATAAGAGGGATGGGAAGAGAAAAAAAAAATCAAATAGCTCTCTTACATTCTCCAACCAATGCCGTCGTCGGTTCTCTTCCCGCCCACCAACCATCATGAACTTCCGCACATTCATTGCCCATCGACAACGATCTGTCCGACTATCGTTGTCGTCCAACTATAGTCCCCCGACCACCATTGCCCTTCGAAATTAGTCCTCATAATATTGTTTTGAAGTTTTAATCGTACTACAACATTATTTTTCAAAATCAATATTACTTTCTAGTTAAGTAAAATAGTGCACTTCTCAAGCTGTCTTCTAAAATTAAAAAAAAATACCTAAATGTCTAGAATTATTATCCCTATAACATACAAAAAGTAAGATGATGAAAGTTTAGCGGTTGTAGAGATATTTCAATTTTTATATTATGAAAATATAAATTTAATCAGGAAAACCGCAAACGAGTAGAGTCGAGCTCGAGCCAGAGGTTGTTCGAGTCTGGCTTGCTAATTGTCCAGGTAGCTCAAACTCGTGCTCAAGCTCAACTCGAGTTAAGAACTGGAGCTCGAGCTCGACTAGGGGTGCAAACGAGTCAAGTCGAGCTCGAGTCAGGTGGTGTTCGAGTTGAGCTCAACTGTCAAATACTGAGCTCGAACTCAAGTCGAGCTTGAGCTTGACTCGTTCCACCGTAACCAAGCTCGAGCTTGAGCCACTCGTCGAGCCCCAAATGCGATCCGGTTCGCCTTCCAACAACTGTGGCACAATCTTCCAAAAAATTAATTCTCGAATTCAATTAGCTTAAAAAGTAAAATTACACCCACCACTGCTTGTCCTAGTGGTGAAGAGCCGGCTGGGCAAAGCCTAGGTTCCTAGTTCGAATCTCTTGGCAAGCAGTGAAAGTCTTGAGTGTTGGTCCGTATAAATTGGTGTGGTTTGCATGCTCGGTCGACCGGGATTTTCACTGGCCTAAAGACAGTGCTTCCTCGTCACAAAAAAAAAAACAAAAAAAAGAGTAAAATTGTAGCCGGAGAGAGAGAGAGAGTATTGAGATTTGAGCCCTTTTTTGGGTTGTCAGAAAAGGAAATGAGTGTTTATCGTTTGCATTTATTATAGATGAGAGAGGACCAAATCATAGAAGAGAGTGAGAGAGAGAGAGAGAGTGGCATTTGAGAGTTCGTGGTTTTCCAAAATTTCAAGCGGGATTTTTAAATTTCAACCGGCAAAAAATTTAAGCTATCCATATGGCATCATTATTAATATTTTTAAATATTTAAATTTAATAATTTTCAGCCGGCTCGCAAGCTCGCGAGTCGAGCCTTGTCAACCTAAAACTCAAGCTCGTTTAATGAACGAGCTCAAACTCGAGCTCGAGCTCGATAAGCTCGATTCGTGAGCCAATAAACAAGTCGAGCTTGAGCCGGCTCGGCTCACTTACACCCCTAAGCTCGACTCATGTGTCCAAATCCTAGGCTCGAATTCAGCTCGTAAGCTCGAGCTCACCTAGATTACATGCTTGAATTGAATGTTTTTATGAAATTTTTACCATAAAAATAATATTTTTTATAAAATTTTCAACATAATAAAGAACATTATTGATAAGTTACTTAAAAAAATCATGATGACATATAGATAATATATAATATTAATCCATTAAAAATAACCAAATTATTTAAAAAAGAACCTTATTAATAAGCCTATCACAAATCATGATAACAAAAATAATTCATGATAAGCAAATCAGACATGTTCATTGTTATATAAACAACAATCTTTGATAAGCTAACCAACTTTACAATAATTATATAATTATTGTTTATATAAAAGATAACAATTGTTATATAACTACAACAAAATATCATAGAAATACACCTAGAAATAATCCACACAAATTTCAAATTATATATATGAAATTAGAACGTTACAAAGTTAACAAAAAATCTCAATACATTCTTCATCTTCGTTAACCTGCAATTGATAACATGAGCATTAAAAAACTTATCAAAAATTGAATATAATAAAAAATATATTAATGAAATGATTAATAAGGCATTATAGAAGTTCACTTTTTCAAGTCTTTAACATCTTCTAAAAAATGTTGGTGCTAATCTACCACTTTTTTTAAAAAGGCAATTAATCATTAAATATATTCACTTTTGTTGTGATTATAAAAAAATTTAAATAAGATGTAATTTATCATAAAAATCATCTTAAGTACATGGTCTTGGTATCTCAATTTCTTCATCGTCCTTCTTTTCTTACAAAGTAAGCTAGTGATAAAATAAATATTTAACAAATTACTAAAATATTATAAATGAATACATTCGTCTTGCCCTTCAAATCATGGTGAGCACGAACCTATATTGACCCATATATTAGAGCCAAAAAAGTTCAAATCTGGACAAGATTTAAGCTAAATGCTACCAAACACCAAAAAATGTTAACTAAGTATATTCACAAGTTCATTTTTGCCATAAATCATGCCAAACGCCAAAAAATGCAAAGTAGTCTAAGCCGAAGTAGCGCCTGAAAGGGGAGAAATATCGTTACCTTCGTGGCGAGCTCCCGTCGTGACGCATGACTTCTGATCCAATATCAATAATGGCGTTGTTAGTGTCGGAGAAGCTTCATGTGAAGCAGAACAACAACACTCTTCATGAAGGTATCCCCTAGCTCGAAACAGACACCACAATGCTTTTCACGAAAAATGTAGATTGACTCTTCATTGATATGTTGTTTATTTAGTCTTGTCCCAATTCTTTTTTCACCCGGTTAAAATCTCCCGCTTCACTTCGTTGTCTCCACACCAAATTTGCATTCCGCATCTATTTCCTTTTAATCGAGTCGGCTTGACTCAATTTCACAACTAGTTCCATCCGCTACTTCGAAGAAAATACAAGCGAATCATAAGAATCATCTGATGGAGAAAAATGAGAGGAATTCACAGTCGTCGTCCCATTGGTGAAGGGCAGAGGTGCAAATGCTGAGCAGACATTCTCCATGTTGCCTGTAAATGATGGACTTCTACGTCGATTTTAAGCAAAGTTGAACAGGGAATGTCATCGTCGAAGGGGTGAAGAAGTGCGTAAATGGGAGAAATATAGCTAACTTCACAGAATGCGGTCTTGAAGGGAACATCGTCTTCGAAAGGGGTGAAGTTTAACAGTAAGAAGGAGCCGCTAAAGAAGTAAAACTCTATCTCACGCGACATGAAGGGAACATCGTTGAAGAGGGAAAGTCATCGTCATTAAGGGAGCTAAATTTCTCTCGTATACATCTCATGAATTCCTTTTTCGCTCGAATTTGTGCAGTTTTACCACAAATATAAAATGCAAGGAGTTTGAAATACAATGGGATTTAGTTTAACATTGCTATGTATCAAACTAAACATAAAAAATTAAAAATATAGGTATGTATTTTACTTTACATTCACTTTGCTACCACTCAAACATCCTCTTAGGTAAATCATTCTCCCTTAGTTTTGAGAGTGATCCATTTACATCGCTCCTAAGCTTGCTTGGCCACCACCAATCATAGTCTCCACCACCACCCTTAAATTCATGTAGGTTGTTAGACCTTATAAAACCGTCTCAATGTAACTAAGAGAGGGTGAATTGGTTATTTAAAAAATTCTTGGAGTTTGGAAAACCCTTCTTTTAAAGAAAAAAAATCTTTTTAGAAGATTAAAAACACTAATATTGAAATATGTAGTTGATTATAGATATGACTTTCACAAATAATTTTTTAACCACAAATATAAAGAGCGGTGAAATAAAATACATGAAAAATAAATGGTAATAGAAGAATACCGAAATTTATAGTGATTCGGTCCAACAAGACCTACGCCGACTCCTTGAAAACTCTTTCTCCATATATTACACTAATCAAAAGTGACTCTCCTTTTGTCCCCACAGCAAGGCAGAGAAACCCTTGCAAACTCTCTTCCACAAACCCGGTGCGGCAGATAATCGTCGACTTTTACACTCTCCAAGTGATGTCAGCGTATTTTCTCATCATTTTTCACCCACCTGGTGAAAGCAGAGTACCTATACATTCTTTTTCACCCACCTAGTGAAGACAGAGAATTAAATATCCTTTTTTACCCTCTTGGTGAAGGCAGAGAACTAAGCGTCCTTTTCATACTCCTGGTGAAGGCAGAGAACTAATCATCCTTTTTTCACCTTCTTGATGAAGGCAGAGAAGCATCATGTCTTTTTTAACCTCTTGGTGAAGGTAGAAAACCTTGATCCAGTCTTGAAGATATTCTCTCAAGAGACTCCAAAAAAGTTGGGAAGAATTTAGAAGAAGAACAAAGAAATCCTTACTTTAAGCAACCTTGTGAATCTCTCACAATTTTCTTTCACTATATCTCTTACTTTGCAATCTCAAACTCTCTCTCAAACACACTCCCAAAAGTCACTCTCAAGAGAAAATTCAAAGCAAATGGTTATAATGTTAGTTTTTAGGACTTCTTATATAGAAAACACAAGAAAATCATCCAAAAAATGGATAATACAAGTGAAATGTCTTCATATCGTACAACACGATCGTGGATTGTCTGTACGAACAATTTAAAAATCTCGGTACGAACCAATTTTTTGTACACTGTCAGTCATCCGGACGAATTAAGATCGTACTGTATAAATAGTTCAAAAATAGTGTGTTCGTTTGGTACGCTCTAATATGAACCTTAATTCGTACACTGTTAGTCGTCTGGACGAATTAAGATCGTACTGTATGCACAATTCATAAATTAATGTATTTTTTGTACGATCTAGTACGAACCTAATTTCATATAATATCAGCCATCTATACGACATGACATCGCACAATACAAATATTTAAACAAGTCAGGTTTTGTTTGGTACAATCTTGGACGAACCCAATATCATACTATATTAGTTGTTTGTATGACTTGACATCAGAAAGGTTAAAAAATAAAAGCCATGATTTGATTGATTGCATTCTGGAGGAAAAACTATGATAAATCGTGTGATGCGATATAAATATCATACAATACGATTAGTTTTAAAATTTTAAGTTTTAACTCTCTTTCCCTGTGTATGTACATGGTTACTCAATTACATTCACACTCTCTCATCTCACACTTAAAAAATAAAAAAAAAATAAGATTTACATACTTTATTACGTGAAATCATATTATATTTTGTCTTGAAGTCTTCATCAGTCAGGAGTATGATTTTCCTGAAATGTTAGTACACACAAAAACAAATAGAAATATTCAATACATGCAAGGAAATATAATAAAATTAACAGAACAATAATATTTGCTATCATCAAAAATCACAATCTTAATCTTAATTCCTGAGTTGCAACAATCCTGTTACCGGCATCCACCCGCCACCGCTGGTTGCCAGCTACTGCCACCCCCCAATGTTGTTGCCACCCATCGCTGCCATTGCTTGCCACCCACAACCGTCGCCGATCGTCACCATGGCCGCTGCCGCTGCTGCCGCCACCGTCAACCATCATTGACCATCTCCAAATATAACCCAGCTTTTTTATACTTTACATTATATTTAATTCACTTAAAAAATAAAGTTATTCATTTATTTTACACTCATCTAAATAACTCAAATTATTTATTTACATGACATTACAACCAAACAACCCTTCATTCACGAATAAACTCAGATTTTGAAAAAATACACATATTTTTCATAAATTATCCAGCCTGGCATTGCTTGAGAGATTTAAAAAAAAAAAAAAAATCCTTGCCCCATGCATGGCATTTGTATGTACTCTCTTATCCCAAAAATACTAAAATGTTATTCGAGTCCTTCTCATCAGAACACGAAAACCTAGAAGCCCCACGCAAGCCACTTGTCTTTCAGTTGCCTCTTATCGGAGAAATATTATATTCTGCCCGGACTCCCTCTCAGCAGGTGTTAGATGAGAAAGGCAAGTAGGCGATTCTTCTTCGTCGTCCCTCACTATCTCTTGCATGGCAAAAGACATGGAATCAGGCGAGGCCTCGCGCCATTCACCGCCAATCCTTCCGCCTTCGAGGAACCGGCGGTCGACCGACCCATTTCTTGTGATATGCCGGTGCTTTAGCGTCATCACTGCCCTAACCGCGCTCCTCTGCGTCTGCGCCAACGTACTCTCTGCCATCCGCTCTTTTAGAAACGGCTCCGACGTATGACCTCGTGATCAAACATTGCTCTGAAGTGCAAATATTTTGTTTCACTCTCTGACATTACTTTCTTCTTTCAATTCCAAGATATTTGGTGGCATCTTCCGGTGCTACGCGATCGCTCTGGCCATCTTCGTAGCCTTAGTGGAGACAGAATGGGATTTCATACTCAAGTTTTGGAGGGTGAGATTTTTCTTGCCTTGTTCTTTCTGAACTGATTCTGTTTATAATTGTTATTGAATATTGATTAAGTTTTTAACTCCTTGATAAATTAGGTATTGGAGTACTGGGTAGGCCGGGGGATGTTGCAAATATTGTATGTGACTACCACCCCTTCTTTTTTATTTGAATGCTTTTCTTTTTAGTGGGTGAAATATGTTTATCGGTGCTGCATCGATGTCTGATGGGATCGAGAAGATATTGACTTTGTTTGTTTTGTTGAATGCTTCAGCGTTGCTGTGATGACTAGAGCGTTTCCTGATGTCATTTGGGCGAGGAGGGATTTGGTTCTGCTTCAGGAGATTTCTAGCTACCTGCTTCTTGCCTGTGGGGTGACTTATGTCGTAGCAGTTAAGGGTGTTTTATCATTTGAGTTTTTCTGCATTCGATTTTCTGGGTACTTTTAAATTGTGCTGTTCAAAACAAAGAATTTCTGTTGCCAGCCTGTTTCAGAAATGGCATCAAGCGATCTCAATTTGAGTTATCGCGATAGAATTTTGTGTGATAGCTATTCGAGTTCGTAGTATTCGAATGTTAGAAGTGTTTGTTAATTTGTAAAATGACTTTCATACTGGTAATAAATAATTAACTATAGCAAATTTCCTCAGGGTTTACTCTGCATTGGATTCTTCAAACGTTCACGTATACAAAAGGAAACATCAAGAGAGCACGCAGCAAAAGATTTGGAGGTACGAACCAGTAGAAATTTGCATGAACAGTCAGTCTATGTGAAAATCAGCATTTTCTAGGGGGATTAAATAGCCTTGGTTGCTTTGGTTTTGAACAAATACTTGTTTTTTTTTTTTTTATATATATGCTTAATACGTGTCAAAGTTTGTGCTGCTCGGTAATTCTTAACTTGCTGATTGTGTTTATATGCATTTATTACAAGTGGTTCCATGAACGTAACTAATTCTTATAAAATGTTACTTAAAAAATGTAATATTTATGAGTAAAGGATGGGGAGTGTTTCTGTTTTCAAGTCTTTACAAATCTTGGCAACAAAAACCAAAAACACAAAATGGGGCAAAAAAAAAAAGAAAATAAAAGAGAAGGTGAAAGCTAAACTGAAAAAAGAGAGAGGCCTCCCATATTATTTCTAGCAGTTGACAATTAACCTTGTGATTGTTAATACTGAACGGTTATCCGTTATCTTATAAAATTTTGCAAGAAAATTGATTCTAGGTAGCTCATAACACGAAGATGTGATGCAGGGCAATTCAGGGTTTTGCTTCTTCTTGCAATTAAATGATGCAGTGAATGGAACTCAAGCACTCAAATTTTAGAATTCTCAAGTAACAAATCACTTATTAAAACAATTTTACGCTTTCTTTTGATCTTAGAAAATACGTAAAATATGTACAAACAATAATTTAATGAACATCTTATTTTAGAAATTTGATGGGAATTCTAAATGATTTAAGCCATGTTTTAATCATGATTTATGATAATGAACAGTCAATTTGTAACAATTTTATTAGAATTAAACGTGCTTGCAAAACCAATCACAACCCATGTAGTCTAAAAACAACAAGGCAAGAAATTGCCAAATAAAAAATCCAGGATACACGCTAAAATCACACTCGAAATCAAAGTTTGTTGTTTGCAAACTATCAATTTAGACAATTATTTATCTTTTTTGTGGAAAGCCAAAAACACGTCAACTACGTACAAATGATAATTTAATATTCATGTAATAGGACTTTCTCATAGATTCATGATTAAGGGCAGTTACTCATCAATCAAAAATCAGGATGCTATCAGCGAAATCCATATTGTACAAGCTTTGATGAAATCCAATCACACATGCATACTAATAATTCAAATGTAGAATATGAAAAAAGCAAGGGAAGAAATTGCTAAAGAGCATACAATGCTTTTGTGGTATTAGAAATAGCTTCATCTAGAAGTTGATAGTCTTCAGCTGCACCACACTAAAAATATTCACATCCAACTAGCAAGTGTAGAAAGGAAACAAGCTTGGAAGTAAATATTTTCGGAATTGATTATATATATATGCCTTAGAAACTTCATCTATAAGAATATAGCTTCCAAAAATTTGGAGATATTTTGGTTGGGCAGTTGCTAAAATCTCATAGATAAGACTTGCCGAAAATTCATAGATCAGATACATATAGGATCGTATCTTCATCAAGAAAAATATGATGAATCACGTGCAATAGCTACAACTCATGGGAGCAACAAAGAATAAAAAAATGAGATTTATTATGTTGGTTTTTCTTGAGTAGTGGTAACAGGCTGCAAGAGGCAAAGGCTATAGCTCTTAGGCCAGTGGGATGGGCCCGAGTTTGAGGCAATGGGTTTTGTCATACCTCGATTTATATTTGATATTAATATTTTTATGTATTCCTTAATTTAATTTTTTAAGTTCCTCTTTCCTTTTATGAATTGGTTATTTATTCTTACGTAAAGCAACATTTTAGAATTTAAAGGAAATTTCATCTGCTTGAAGTTAGTAGATTTTTAGGATTTAAATTCTCATATTTTTGTATATAATAGATGTTATGTATAAATTTAAATTTGCTTTTTGACCCTCATTGTTGATCTCTAGACATTTGCAAGAGGATGTATCTTGGTGTATGTTTTTTGCTGATGATATTCTTCTTGTTGATAAGACTAGAGAGGGAGTTGAAAGTAAACTTGAATTATGGAGGTCAACATTAGAGACTAAAGGTTTTCGCTTGAGTAGATCTAAAACGGAATATATGGAGTATAAGAATACACGTTTTAGATATCTTGGATCGATTGTTCAGAGTGATGGTGAAATAGATGGGGATATTATCAGCAGAATTCAAGTTGGATGGTTGAAGTGGAGGAATGTATCGGGCTTGTTGTGTGATAGAAAAGTACCCCTCAAACTTAAGGAAAAATTCTATAAGTTGGTAGTGAGGCCTGCAATTCTTTATGGTGCTGAATGTTGGCCATTAAAAGAGAAGCATAATACTAAGTTAAGTGTGGCAGAGATGAGGATGATCAGGTGGATGAGTGGATTTACCCTTAGAGATAGGATACGAAATGAGCATATACGTGAAAAGGTTGGAGTAGCTCCAGTAGAAGATAAGATTAGAGAAAGTTTCCTTAGATGGTTTGGTCACATAAAACAGCGGCCTTCCAATGACCCGGTTAGGAGAGTAGAGGTATTAGATTTGACTTATTTTAAGAAAGGTAGAGGCAGACCTAAAAAGACTTGGTTAGAAAATATTAGGAATGACCTTTCTTTATTAGATTTAAATGAGAATTTGACCTTTAATAGGACACAATGAAGAAAAATGATTCATGTAGCCGACCGTAGTGGGATAAAGGCTTGATGTTGTTGTTGACCTCTACTAATTAAAAAAAAAATCAAATACGTAATACATACCTGCCTCTGCCAAATCCCATGAATCCGGCTGAAACATCACATACCTCGGACTGTCGAATCCGCGATCTCCGCTGAAATCCTGAAAATATGTTGAAATGTCATTGAATCATTGTTCAGACGGCACCATTCGCATCTCCTCGCGGGATTCCTGTGGCCTGCCTCGATCGAGCGCCCTTGCACATCGTTAAATACCCGACCCCTATGATGCACGGACACGGATACGACGATACAGATAAGACACGACACGGACACGAGACACGTCAGTTATTGAAAATATAGGACACGGACACGGGATGGACACGGTATTATAATTTTTATATTTAAAAATAGTGTATAAAAATTAAATAAGTATAATTTCAAAAAAAAAATTGAAAATAATAAATCATTTAACTAAAATTTGTGCTTAAAATGATTAATATTAGGATGTCAAGAGTCAGACGTCGATGCCGTTTATCAGTCACCGAGAGAGGACATGAAAAAACCTTCACTGCAAAAAGAAATGAAAATGAGAATATTCGATGATTGGGTATTAAACGAGGACGTTGATTTGGTGTTGTGGATAGGAAATAAGAAATTTAGTTTAAATCCCGACATATACAAGAAATTATATTTAAAAAAATTCATAAAATATTTAAGATACACGTGTCAGACACGTGTGTCGAATTTATATTTAATATTTTTTAATAGAACACGTTTTCGACATGTCCGACACGTGTTGAAGGAGTGTCGGACGAGTGTCGTGTCGGATACGGTGTCGGACACTGCACGCCTATTTGAGGAGAAGTGTCGGTGCATCATAGCCCGACCCAAACGAGGCCTTCGTTCGCGGCTTCCCCCATTCACTGTTTCTCCGACTTCCTCCCACACGACTCCAACACCGATTCTCCCTCTGCTTCCACGCTAAGCTCCACCTAGCCTTCCTCCTCCCATCAAGCCAAATCCCTTGCCTTCTTCCTCCCCCTTGCCCGACCACAGCTCCAAGTCGAGATCCCCACTGTCTGTAACCCGTCCGACTTCTCACGCAATACATAGAGAGAGAGAGAGAGAGAGAGAGAGAGAGAGAGAGAGAGCTCCTACCTCTTCAAGCCAAAGTCTTCTCAAAATCTGCCCTAGATGACCTCATACACCTCATTCCTCTCCTCTGTTTCTCTAACTTAAACTACCCACACTCAATCTCTCTAAGCCAGGAGCAATTATTACGTCCGGTCAAAACCGAACGTATCTGAATGTATACCGAGCAATACTGAGTGCTCAATGCCGAGTTTCAGGTGACGTGGCGCGTGGTTATTGGTTTATGAACGCGTTCGGTGACCGGACGTAATAATTGCTCCTAAGCCAGCCCCCATAACAAGCACATTTAACCCTCATCCACCCAGCACACTTAGAACTAGTACATAGCCCATTCCAAAGCCCACTTTAGCCTTCCAAAACAGCCCATTACAGGTATAAATCTCTTCCCATTTATTCTCTGATGTTAACTTCATTGTAATGGCTAGTATAGTTATTATTGCTTGACAAAGTGTAGTTGTTGTTAATGTCATTTATAATAATTATCATTTCCTCGCGAAGGTATTACCCCTCTAAACCCTAAAATTCAGAGAACTCGTTTTCGATGTTTGCAACGCGACAAAACGACAACATATACACGCTTTTCTTAACGTGGTGGAAGGAAGTTCGTCGCGGTGCTCTCGACGAATCGGGTGATCACCTAAAATTCCTTCTTCGAAGTTCGTAGCGCACCGAAAAACCGCCTATACATGCTTTTCTTAGTGTGGTGGGATGGGAACCCTGTGCGATGCGTACAACGAAGTGGGGATACCTATAAGTACCCGCTTGCGGGGAAACAACTGCTTTTCTCTTGCAACATGTACCAAAGACCCATACACGCTTTTCTTAGCGTGGTGAGGGATCAAAAAATACGGCCGCGGTCTCCTCGTCCGAGGACACCTATCATACACGCTTTTCTTAGCGTGGTGGGAAAGGCCTAGTTTCCTGTAGTTTGCCCCTAAACGGGGGAGACGCCGGGAGGCTGCCGAAATTTCGGATAAACGCGAGGCCATACTGAATCTTGATTGAACAAATGGGACTTAAGTGAACTCAACCTTAAGTGAATATGAAAGATAACATAAGCCTAAATTGAACAAGAACTCAAATGATTTGGACTTGAACTTGAACTCTACAAGACAGCAGGGCTACATAAAGAACCAAAGTTGAACTCAAATGAACTTGATGTAAGAAAGGTCTAACTTCAATTTGACCTTGCATATTGAACTATAACTAAACTCAAAAGCTTAAGCTTGAACCAAG